AGAGCGTCTATCAATAATCTACAGTAAATCATTCCTATCTCTAAGAATATTTTAAAGTCACATTAAATTAATTTTGATAGACTATAATCAAATGATCACTGACAAAGTGTCCATCTTAAGGGTTTAAAAGACCTCAAAAATTAATAATTTCTGTTTTTTTTTTTTTTTTTTTTTTTAAATTTAATTTTTACCTATTGAGAGATATTTAGAGATTATTCTAATGCACAAAATATATATAAAAGGTTTGTAAGCATTAAAAATAGTCTTGAACGCATGCACAAACTGTAATTTGTTTCAATTTTTGAATTTTTATTTGATTGACTTGTATAATCAATAATCTGAAGAATATGTAAACTACTATTAATTCCATTTCACATAGGATCAATATTTTTTTTCTCCCTTTAAGTTTAGAATATTTGGTAAATTTGACTTGACGACTTTTATTAAACGATTAAAAAAATAACGGCCTATCGGAGAATATTCACGGGCGGGTATTCAGAACATCTGAAAGAACTTTTTAATTTAATGAATCCAAAAAAACTGGTATTTATAAGGAAGTAATTACTGCAGACAAAGTTTAACTGCGTGGAACAATCAGAACTATTAAAAGAGGGTAAAGTATCTGGACGAGCATCAAAGAAAACAAAATGGCGATACAAAAGAACATTAGCAAAATGTAATAAAAAATGAAAAAACAAAGATGTTGACATTGTTTGAAATAGGTATTTTTTTAAATAATTATATGCTATACAACTTTTGATAAACCACTACATTTGTAAAGCTCAGCATACCCATGCGCCCAACCTTAAAAAGTGATAAAGATAGTGGTGTTATCTCTCCCCTCTTTTACAAACAAAACTGGAAATTCAACTCCTTATCAACCCATATCCAATATAACAGGTGCTCATAAAGGAATTTTTTTTTTTGTTTTGTTAATTTTTAATACTTTTTATTCCTGCGTACTGTACTCATTCACTCTTACTCTTTCACTTATTTTGCACTACTATATTTTAAATCGTTAATTTTTTAACTGGAATTTTTATATTTTTCTCATTATTTTAGAATAATTTAAGTCAAAATAAGTGAAAATATTATATTCAGCATTTTAATAATTTTTGATTACGAAATACAACATGGAACACCATTGTTTTTCCTGCGTTAAAATTAAAATTTTCTAAACATGACACTTCCAAACAATCTTCAAATGTGCACTTATTTAGATTTAAATTAAGAAAAACAATTATTCATTATTGAAATTACAAAATTAATTATTGATATACTTTTGAGTAAGAATTATTGATACAATTTTAGAAAAAATAAAAAAACTTTCGAATAACGCTTTTAAAAAAAATGCACAAGTTATTTCCTGATAATCTAAACGAATTTTTAGTAACTATTCGAGTGTTTTTTATAATTAAAAAATACCTAAATATATTTTTGCTTATAACTAGTGCATCAAAAAAAAAATTTTTAAAATGGACACCAGTCTCCAATCTACGTCAAAAAATTATTAATATGCTACCTTTGTAATTTTTCGCCTACATTTTACGACGACGTCAAATGAATCAATAGCAACGAAAGCATTCTTTTAAAAAAAAAAAGAAAAAAAAATTGAAAGCATTGCTTTATGAAACTGAAGTGCCACGAATATCTTTTTTTTTATTATTTTGTAAAAAAAATTTTTAATCTAGTCTTTTAATGTTTATGAGTTTTTTGAATATAACAAGAAAATTTTAATCATAAAGCATCTTTAATGGTAATATGTTACTATTCATAAAGCACCTTTTATGAACGGTAGCATCTTCACTTGAATTCCATAAATAACTATCATTGTGGTTTACTGATTTTTTTTTACTATCATTTTGAGGTTTCAAAAGAAAATAAATANAAAAAAAAAAAAAGCAAATGGTACAGTTTGATTATTCCCAGCATTTTCAATCGGATAATGCAGTGTAGTATGCCCTTTAAATTTAAGTATAAAAATATACGAAGACACACGATATGTATAGATAATCTTCAAAAAGTTAGTATCGGAGTTCCCCCCCCCTCGTCATTTGAACGGTACCCATGACAGAAACACTCGGAAATGTCGTGTAATGTTTTAACTCAAATCCCTAAAAATCCCTTGTGCATCCGAAAAATTCCGCAAGTTTTACTCTCCCACTAAAGGAAGAATTAATCAACTATGTCTCTCAAAACCAAGGTAAATCAGTTTTCCATTTGAGACCCTTTATCGTCGTTGGCATCATAAAGATTTGGCGAGTAATGATCTTCGGGAACAGGTGCGGTTTTTCAATAGAGTTCCTCCGCCCACTCCATCAATCATTTAGGTAGGGGAGAAACTTTTAGGCGAGACCTATAAGACAGCCTATTGGTTAGATTAAACTATTATGGTTTACTTAAAGGCTGAACCAGCTCTAGCACCGGAATAAATTATACCGGAATAATATTTTTGAGATTAAAAATGGAGATTTGGAATAATATTTCGGTGAGTTACATTATTTCAGCAAGTCAATGGAATAAATCGAAATTCTGTTATATAATTTGTGAACTGTAAAAAACTGTTTTCTAAAAAGCAATGTCCAACAAAATATGGCTGTACAGTTTTTCTTCGATGCACTGAAAAAATAATCTCTAAAGTATAACAAAAAAAATGACTCTCATTGGGCAGTAAGCTCTCTGGTTTCATCAATGTTCCAAATTGAATATACTCTCTTAGATCCAAAATAAGGAGAAAAAAGCGATATCCAACAATAATTTTTATCCATTTTGAATACACTGAGAACTAGTGTAGGTTTGTTACAGATACAAATTTTGAATTATATCCATTTAAGGTGCACAAAAATTCCAAATTGGATTGTGTAACAAACTCATATCAGCGCGATTTCTTCATAACCTAAGTATCCGAAATGGATCAAAATTTTACCTATTTTGTAGTTTATTTTTTAACCATTTTGGGTCTAAAAAAAGTATTTTCAATTTAAAACAGAAATCAGAAATCTTTCTGCCCCATTCGGATAATTTTTTTTTTTGTATTTTGGATTTGATTTTTTTTTTCTTTTACTGTGTGGGTTATTTCTCTTTGGGAAGTGCGCGATTTCTTTATGACAACTTGCACTGGAAAGACATATGCCACGCAAATCGAGATGTTTTTTGTTACAGAATCACCTGTACACGCTAGCGGACAATTCTCATAGAAATAAATAAGAAATTTGTGGTTTAGCTCGTATCACTAAAGTAATAAAGTTTTTTCCGATTTCAATGTATGGCAACGTTACTGTTTTTGTAAGCTTAAATGGTTAACACTATAAAAAAAAAGCTAAAAATATATTTTATGAAAAAAAAAAATTCTTATGTTCTTCTATAAAGAATGTAATTGAAATTAAAATATACATACAATTCAAATCCAATCGATGAAGCTCTATTTCAATTACAAGCCCAGCCGACTTTGTAGATTTGAGGAAAACTCTTTTGAAGTTTTCTAGCAGTAGACAACGAAAGGTTGCGGAAAAATTCAAAATTTAAATCTAGATATTTCAGTCTGTTATAAACCTTTTCTCAAATATTCAATCAGATTTCTCAACGATTAAATAAAACCCTCCTCTTAGAAATGAAAACTTTACTATTTATCAGTATGCAGTAATATTTGTATATGTAAAAAATTTATATATATCTGCGTGTCCCTTATAGACACCTAAACCATTCACTCAAAAGCTATGAAATTTGGCATACTAATAGTTCGAAGCACGAAAAATGTCAGCATTAGAACATTCTATTGTTCGAACGGGATAAGGAAAAAATGAAATGGAATTTTCTTATTGGTTAAGCGTTAAAAATTGCTTTAAAATAAACTATTAACGATTATATTTTGCAAATATTTTGAAGATTACATCAGTGATATTTAATAGCTTCTAGCTCTATTTGATCAGAAAAGAGTTTATTGCGTGTGTTTTAAATCTTATACAAAAAAATTTAATTAAGGCTCCTATACTATCAATTCAGGGGCTCTAAATTTAATGAACAACGAATGTAAAAAAAATTATGAACAACGTTAACTGTTAACCTTTGAGTAAAATACGTGGCCAAATTAGCATTTTAAAGTCATATGGAAAGCACATGTTTATTTTGATTAAAATTTTAATGTAACTGAATTATTTAAAATAAAACTTGAGATTATGAAGAAACATGCAATTACGAAGGTTTTATTTTATTTTATAATTGTCGTTGAACAGCCGACCCAATTTTATGGGTGTGCGACTACTAAGGTTCAACTCCGCAGCCTTGTAATTTTGAATCCAATCCAGAAGACAAGGGAATTACTGGATCGAGTATTGGGAGAAATTTGCCATGGTTCGTAGAAAATGGCACTAAGAGTATGATGAAATAAAAAAAAATAACATTCGAATATTAGTTCGAGAATACTTAACTTGCAATAAAAAATTACGAATGGGAGTCTTGGTCGGCTGCAGGAATGCAACTATAGAGCTGGCTATTCTTAGTTATTAACTAAACACATTTTTTTAACTCTAATTTGCTAGAAAGTTATTGCAATTTTGAAAGCTTTTTGAGATTTTTTTAAATACTTTTTTGCTTTGTTTTACAGCGCAAAAATTAAGACTTAGGAATTTGAAATTGCGAAAGTGTATATAAAAAAATATACAAAAAGTACGAAGAAATACATAATTTAATCTTCGAAAATATTGTTAAACTTGTAGTTAAAAATACTATGTGGGTCGATCTGCATACCACTGAAATCCAACTATACAGTTGACATTTCTCGTAATGAAAGGGCCGTATTTATTTAATGAAAAATGTTCCTATCAGTCTTTGAGCATGAAGAATTTTTTTTCTTCTTCGAAATGCTAATTTATTCGAAAGTTATTGCAAATTTAAGAACTTTTTTCACTTTAAATTCTATTTATTCATTATTGTAGAAAAGTTTACTTCTCTCAAGATATTAGTTTATAAATAAAATTTATTTTCTAATTTTCTTTTTATAGGTAGAGAAAATCTGAAGTAGAATACCTGTCTACATTTTGAATCAATTTTTTTATTCTATTTGTTTATCTTTCCTATAAACATGTTGTGTCGTTGCTCTCATCATTTACATTTGTAATTATATAACTGTATTTAACAAAAAATTATAAAAATCATTATCTCTTTATTATTCTATTATGTAGCATTGTTATGTAGATAATTGTATTTAGACAACTATTAATCTTCATAATCTGCCTGTTTGTATAATTTCATTTTTGCATTATAATTAAATTTCCTTTCTTCTGTTTTGTCTAGCCTTTTCTATTGTTCTGAAAAACGATTTTATTTACATAAAAAAATGTTCACTATGCTTATTTGAATAAATTATTAGCAATGTTTCCCTCAAAACAAATTTTATTTTCAAATATAATTGTACTGACTTGTAATTGGAGGTGCGACGAGCTTTATACTATAAGCTTTTATGGTTTCAAAACGAGACTTTAACCTTTTTCAATTCCACTGTATATTTTTTTAATAATATTGTGAGAAAATTGATAGTACAATTTACATCAAATACCTTTTACATTGCCTATTTGAATAAATTAACAAGTATTCAAAAGCCAAAGTTTCATTCGCTTAATATGACAATATAAATGTAGATAAATTTTTATTCACACACATAAATAAAATGATTGTCGGCTTTTCCAAATTTGAAATTTATTGAGTAATTTGAGCTTTTTTTTAATATGTTGTTGAGAAAATAATTATCATAACAAGGCAAAAGTATAGTCAAAAATTACGTCAACAAAAAAAATACATAACGCACTCACAAAAGTAGTAATAAGAAAATATTAATAGTTTCTTCAGTTAGTTCTTGGAAATCGAGAATTTTTTTTTTCTTTTGTAACATTAGGGGCATTTAACTTCGAAACCAACTCAATTTCAGTTTTACACCAGAAAGGTAAAATAGCACCGTTTTGTGCACATTTCTTTATATATATCAGGGTACGCAGCCAAATAATTGAACAAAAACTTAATCTCCTTTTAAGCACTTTTGAAGGACTCAAAAAATATTTTTAAACACTTTAAAAAAATATCATAATCAGACGGAATTGGAATGCTTTGATAATTGACGCTTTTTACCTTGTTTTAACCGTCATGTCAAAAAGAAAAAACTTTTGGCATTGTTTTTGACAATTGTCAAAAAATCATGAAATTTTGAATCATGTAAAACGAATCTCGTTTTCATACGCTACGAACTGACGACAATACACCGAAATAGAGTGGGGTTGAATTAATTATGAAAACGTTCGATAGAACAATGTGAACGGTGACTTTTTGCATAATCTGAAGAGAAAATCAACATAGTAAAGGAAAATATCAGTTTGAAAAGGGGAAAATTAAGCACTTTTTACAAGCACCCAATAAAAAAAAGCACCTTTAAACACTTTTTGAAGAAGCTACACACACTGTATATATAATGGTAGCAAAATTTAAGTTTTAATGTATTATTCTTAGTTTAATAATTTTGATTTAAAATGGTACTACCAATCGCAACAAATAAATAATTAAATTCTTTTTATAGAATATCAGTTTCTTACAGCCATATTACCCTCAGTAAACTACAAGGCATAGAAAAGTGGTGCCTAGAGAAGAAATTTCAAGTAAACGGCTAAAAATCACAACTCCTAATCATCCTAAATAAAAAGAAGAAAAAAATACCACCACAGAGCAAGTTAATTCTATTCAATGAAACAATGCAAATAGTTGATACAGCCAAATACCTTGGACTCAACCTTAATGACAAATTCAACTGGAATGATCACATCAAAAGCATAATCGGTAAAGCACAAGCAGCATGCAGTTAAACTCTCTAGGTACTACTCTATCAATCAAACATGGCACTAAAACATTATTCTATTTATACGTTATACGCCCCCATCCTTACATCAGGGCTGTCCTTACATATGCCTCACTAGTCTTGACAAATATAACACAAACTAAGCTGAACAAATTAATAAAATACCAAGAAGTATAGCAAAAGCCAGATGACTCGTAAGAAACGACACAATACAACACGGCCTGAAAATAGATGCAATAAACACACATATAGCTAAATTAAATATCAAATTCTATGAAATTCTCTTCCACCTCTTGCTCTGCAACAAATTTCAATGAAATATTCCTATATGAAACTTTAACTGATGACAAGAACATCAGACCGTTACAGACATCAGACAAGAACCGTTACAAATACTTGTACTTTTTCCCTAAAAAAGTAACGAAAGTACTAGTAAAAGTACTAAATTTAAAAAGTAACGAAGTACAAGTAAAAGTACGTACTTTTTACTTGTACCGGCGGTACAAGTAACGAAAGTAAAAGTACTGCCATATATGATTATAATTTGTTAATAAATTTTGTTTCACAGTACAAAATGAAATTTGTGGAAAATCCCTTATAATTTTGGGCTTTCTCTTAAAAGAGTAAGAAAACTACTGAGAAAATTGCTCGAAACTCTTAAGAAATTTTAAGATATTCAAATCGGTCTTTACTTATTGGTTTTTTATAAAAATTTTCATATCTCTCCATAAATATTAAAGCAAGGTTTACGAAGTTTTGCGCAATTATTGCACATAATAATAGTTATAAGTTACAAATTTATTGCTGCATTTTTTGGCATAGGTGTTCAAAAAAAAAATTTTTTTTCCGTTTGTAGTTTATTGTCGGTACCTCAAAAAGCTTTAAACTTCATTGATATGTATGAGAAATCGCACGATCTAATTACTTCTAAATGTATGAACTGATTCTCAAAGTATTTATATTATTTTTTAAATATGAAAAAATGTGTTAGTATCGAAGAGTTTTGATATATATATATATANGAGAGAGAGAGAGAGAGAGAGAGAGAGAGAGAGAGAGAGAGAGAGAGAGAGAGAGAGAGAGAGAGAGAGAGAGAGAGAGAGAGAGAGAGAGAGAGAGAGAGAGAGAGAGAGAGAGAGAGAGAGAGAGAGAGAGAGAGAGAGAGAGAGAGAGAGATTTTTTATTTATTATTAATGTAGATTATTCCAATGTTTTTTCCATTTTTATTTAATAAAATCTCCTCTCTTAGACATTACATGATTACACTATTCTTTTCAGATGCTTCTTGTCGAGGAGTTTGCTCCGGCAGCACAAACAAACGTCATAACATTTTTTGCTACATCATAACAAACAAATTACTTAACTAATTTGTTTACACCTAAACGAATAATTTTTACATACTTCTGATGAAATTTTTTAATTGTCTTCTTGAGAAATATGTTGCTAGATGTAAGGAAATAAAATATTTGGGAAATATTTATAATTGAAATAACAAAATCAGAAATCTATAATGGGTAAATAGGATATATCATTTTTTTCCCTTTCTTAAAGCATTTTAAAACAGGTAGTGAATTTATTATACTTAAAATTTTGTTACACAAATTTATTTAATTTTAATTACACATAAAATGTTAGTGAAAAATAATTTATTTAAATGAATCCTTTTGTTTCTGTGAATAACGAAATAAAGTTATTGAATTAAAAGAAATTATAGACAGGAAGATTTGGTACTAAGTCACAGAAGCCAGCATCCACTCAGGATTAATAAAAAAAAAAATAGTAATAATAATTATAAAACAATTGGTCTTGCAATCTACGCATAAAATATAGATAGGTCGTAGTACAGCAAACTTAGATTTGCCAATTTTTATGTTTGGATGCTGTGCGTTTCTATTACTTCTGAATCGAGTTAGTGTGTTTGAAATATTCCAAAATACGAACAGAGGACCGTGACAATAAACTTAATATTTAATTTATATCAAGGAATTACATGGACCAGCAAGGGCCGATCAATCAATGTTTTTACGTGGAACGTCATGCACTTATCTTTTTTCTTTTCACTACAGCAGTTATTTATCACATGATGAAGAACTGCTGCGCATGCGCGACAATCCCAACATGCCGCCCCACGTTGCAATGCATTTAGTACATTCAATATTGTTAGAAAATTGCATGAAAATTCAATATTAACAATCTTTTAAACAGGGCCGGGATAGCCTGGTCGGTAGGGCGCTGGGCCCATATCCAAGAGGTCGTGGGTTCGATCCTCGCCGGCCGAAGACTCCCCGTGTAGTAAATGGTGACTGATGCACGTTAAATCTGTCGAGTCTCAAAGTCCTCCATGTTCCCACAACAAATCAATACCTCTGGGGGTACTGATCCAGGAGTTTCCTTGTCTTCTGGATTGGTTTAAAATTACAAGGCTACGGAGTTGAACGTAAGTAGTCGTAAACCCATGAAATTGGGTCGGCTGTTCTTTGATGGCAGATGCTTTGGAGGTAAACAACAGCTCCATACGCAGATTCGGACGCGTCTGCAAATCCATGAATAAAGATATGACATGACGAAGAATCTTGAGCTTTTCGAGTAGAGGAAGAGCTGATACAAATTTATGCCATTCTTGAGCAGCGGATTGAGGTAGTGTATCAGGCCAATCAATTTTCAGCAACCACAGTTGTTGAAGGAAGATCTTTGCCTTTGAAATCACAGGGCCAACCAATCCTAGTGGGTCGAAAATGTGAGCTATCTCGGACAAAACAGATCTTTTCGTATAGGATGGGTTTGGATTCACTGAAACTTTGTAAGCAAAGGTGTCGCTAGAGGTGAACCACTGCATTTCAAGAGTCTTTACACTTTTTTCTTCTGGTGTATCATCAAATGGATACATTTCCGTATCCCCAAGTTGCAGATCCGGATGATTTGAACACCACTTGTGGAGCTCCAATCCACCGCAAGATAGCATTAGTGTCTCGTTGAATATCTTTAGCTTCTTATAGATTAGATGATACCGAAAGGCAATCATTCATATCGAAATCTTGTATTGCAGAAGCTGCAAGAGGAAATTTGCTTTTTTCATCGATCCCAATTTGTTGCAGAGTTTTTTGAGCAAGATAAGGAGCACAGGGAGTCCCGTACGTAATCGTTTTCAATTCTTAAACACGAACTGGTACATCCTTTCCTTTCTTCCAAAGAATTTTCTGCAAGTGAGTCTGTGATGGGTTAATTTCTATCCGGCGGATTTAACGCTGAAAGAACTGTCATTTAATCCGCTAATCGGGATATTTATTTTTTTCCTTTTTTATTCCTAGAATATTCGCTGCTTCACTACAAATGAAATTCGATTGGGCTGCAGAATCGAGAACAGCTCTCAAGGGTATTTTTTTATTATGCGAGTCTTGGATGTAAATTATAGCAGTATTAATCAAAACAAAGTTTGAATTTCCAGATGTGAGAAGCGCCGTTCTGTCTTCCGAGCTCGAGGTTTCGATATTTCATGCAGAGGGGGTAGAGGGTGAAACGACCTTCACTTCGGGGATCGTAGATTGAGTGGGCGAAGTGAAATAATTATAATCCCGGTGAAGCATTGAATAGTGAGATTTTTTACAGAAACATTTTGCCTTCGTTTTGCAAAAAGCTAAAGCATAATTTATTTTTCTTTACGAGTTCATATCTTTCTGAAAAACTATAACTTTTAAAAATGGAGCATTGATAAATAGAGAGGGAAATATCTTTACATATAACACATGCATTATGTTGAGAATTAAGTAATGCGCTTTTTGATCGTTGAAAAGAATTAGTAGAATGTTTATTCATAGGGGTAGTGGTTTTCGCTTGTACATTTCTATTGATAGAATCCTATACATCAGGGTTCCTACGGTCCTTGAGAATTTTAAAAAGTGGTAATAAAAATAAAAGAAATTTTGACATTTTTATTTCTGTGTAGCCACCACTAAAAGATGTTTTCTAAAAAATATATATATCCACGAAAATTTCAGTATCTTACGATGAAAAAGTATATTAAAACAAAAAAATATATTGTAGCTCCACCCTAAATTTACTACCACTTTTTTAATTTTTCAAGGACCGCGGGAACCCTGTATATGACTTCTTTTTTCCATAAATAATAACAAATTGTGTAAAGACTGGATATCTTGTGTTTCTAACGTTAGTTCAAATTGGATTCTGATATTTTTTATCTAGTTTCGGAATTATTATATTTATAAACAATGCATCCGAAAGGCTATTTCTTTCAAAATTAAGCAATTTCAAGGATCGGATATTTTTGTTTACATTGACTAAAAGATCCCGTAAACTCTTTGCATTTTCATTAATCATAGAAGGATAATTAATTATACTGTTTATATGTGTATCAATTAAAACACGTTTATTTTCAAATAGTTCTGTTAAAGCTTTAATTAATGAAACATAAGTATCTTCACTGGTTTCAATTAGTTTTGCTTTACCTTGTAAACATAAAATAACTTTTGTGCATCTGATAAATAAGTATGACAATTGATTAAGTTTTCAAAAACTATCTTAAAGTTATTAAATTTTTCATAATCACCATTAAACATAGGTAAAGGTATAGTAGGTAAAGAAGAGTTAGATAGTTTTGGTTTATCTTGATTAATGTTTTTATCTTTTATACCAGTACAGTTAGATAAACTTTGAATTAATAAAAGGAGACTTATCTGCGTTTTGTTTATTCTTTCTTCAATCTCCAAAAAGGATGAATCGATTTCTTCTATATCTTCATCTTTTGCAATTTTGTAGTATTGTAGCCGTAGATTTTCCAAATCAGTTTCAAATTTCTGAAGATTATCCAGTTTATGATTTAATTCAATGAGCGTTGGTTTCTCTTCCACCGCAGACATTGATACAAGATTCTATATATATCTATATATTTCATATTATGACAGCAGTTCTTGATCACATGATCAAGAACTGCTGCGCGTGCGCGACAATCACAACAGATGCATCTGCTTTCATACTTGATATGGTTCCATCAAGGTGCACATTTGGCTGTCTGTTTTATTTCACTAGAAACTTATAAATGTAGATAGATATTTCAAACAAACTAAAAATAAAAAAAGCAATCAATAAGAAAAATTTATTTAAAAGTCGCAAACAAAAATCAATCGTACACTGTTTATTAATATAAAGAAAAAAATTTTCATGTTTAACAGTGACGCTAATAGCACAAAGAGTGTGTTCATAGGAAACAATAACATATGGATTCAAATCCTTACGAGATTAATTCTTAATATCTTTCATGAAATACTTCGAATAAATGATTCCAAGTCAAAGTATTCAATCTATTCTGTAGAAATCTTTCAGAAGTAAATACTTCTGGGCATGTTTGGGAACGCCCAGTTCTTCCACTCCTTCGGGCAACTTAAAGTTTTCTCTTAATCTGTTTCTGATGATGCATCTTGAAAGGTGCTTCAGAGATCTTGGACGCTTATCAGAAGTTTCCTCATAATTCACTAGATTGCAGTACCATTGCCATACGTCATTTATCTTCTGATAGCATTTAGGATTGATTCCCTCAAAAAGTCTGAAAATATCGGTTTTGGTCAGAAGGGCATCTGGAATAGAGCTCCAGAGTACTCGCACGGCCATTTCGAGATCTGCAGATTTATCGTCAAAAGAGAACTGAACATAAAGATCCAGAAGCTGAATCGCACGGAAGTTGAGAGGATTTCTAGACATACCATTCCAATTTTTGTCCCACGTAAGGTAGCCTTCATCATCCAAATACCTAAAAAGTAAAAAAAAAAAAGAAAAATATGTTAAATAAATAGACTCCAATTCAATTTTTGAAACGCGTGTAAGAAACGTTACTATGTTTCAATATATTTTAAAAGTGATTGCCAACACGAAATTATAGCTGGTTTTGTTTCATGGGGATCTGAATTCTTAATTAAAGTAAGAATAGTCAAAGGAGAAAGGAATTCCTAAAATATGGCCAATAGTTTCAACAGGACTGCCTCCAATACTCCAATACAATTTTTAAAAATAGAATAAAATAACAAGAATCTCAAAAAAATTTCTAGATATAGAATTAAAATCTTAAAATGTGATATTTCAACAATTGAACTATTAGGACAATATTATTTCAGATGATAGCTACTAGCTACTCTCTGTATTTCTAAGTCAAGAATCCAAATCCGGAGTAAAAGTATTTTTATTCAGAAGCAATTCATTTTTGTGTCTGATATTGTAGTTCAACTGAGAAAAATATTGATATAGTAGTATTTAACTTACTTAATAACCCTCCTTTTAACCAAAAGTAATTCAGGGGGATTAGTTTTCTTCACTGTATAATAACTTTCGTTATAGTGATCCTCTTTCCTCGAACTCAATACTAATCATAAAGATTTAAAGAGGTGACCTCCAGTATGCTAATATGTACGAGTTATCTTAGTTAGAGAATCAGACACGTAAACGTACTTCCTCAGAATAAACATACCGTTTTTTCGACGAATTTAAATCCCTGACTCTCAAAATATGAGATGTAGCCGCAATCTTAACAATATATTTACCAAAAGCAAATTTAAGGAATAAAACATCGAAAATTATGAAGAAAATGGGAAATACAATGACAGCTGAAGCTGACGTCATCAGGGGGTACCAGTCCCGGAAGTCATAAATGCATACCCTCCAACTTATGAGGATTTTGAAAATAATTCTTTCTAGTGGTAGCGAACCAAAGTAGAAATTTTTAAAGCAAATGGATCTCTCATAAAACTTTTATCAGAACTTAAGAATCTGGCCATAGGCCCATCACTTTTATAAGTAATAGTGGACAAATTTTGCTAAAATGAATTTTTTTTTAAATATTAAGACATTAATTTTGCTACCGTCTGAAAAGAAGATTTCAGAAACTACGGAAATTCCGTAGCAGTTGGAGGGTATGTAAATGGCTGGCTTTTATGACTTTTGGGAAGTAATATCTAGAGAAAAAAAATATTTTTGTGTCTGATTCTGAAACTTAACTAATAGTTAGCAGTATTAGAAAGCTTATTTAATGTTTGACCTTTAAACCATTCAGGTAGACATTCAGTTCATGAAAATTCGATCATTCGATCAGAATGTATTAAGGGCAGAAAAGCTATTTAATCATACAAGATATGAAGTCATTTACGGTAGTCGGATGCGAAATAGTTATTATTGCTTTTGCATTTTTTTTTTTTTTAAATATTAAATGTCAGAAATGGAAACATATCACAAAGCCATCCATGAAACATAAAAAAGGCGCAAATTAGGTAATAGTTTAAGCTGGCTGGAATTTTTCCTGAATTGTAATAAATGTTGAACTGCTGAAAACGCGGGTTTACTGTGCTTACTTCATGTAAATTTAAATATAAGCTTTTCTATAAAAAAAAAATTTTTAGGAAGTTTTTTAATACCTGAGACTGGAAACAGTAAATTCGAGTTTATGTGGTATAAATGTTAGCTAAATAAAATGTTTAAATAGAATAGAGGAAACTATGATAATTATTAACGGTGAACTACAGAATCTGAAATTTATTTAACAGTTCTGGTGGCAACACATACATATTTTTGCGAGAATTTATTGACCTGAATTTTTGAAACATATGTTAATTGTCAATAACATTAAACAAAATTAAAATAAATACGATAAAATTCTCTATATAAGAAGTATTTAATATAAGCCTTCTTAAACCATTATTTACAATAGTCATTTTAAATAGTTTTTAATGAATAATATATATATATATATATATATATGTATATTATTCTTGTGTGTGTGTGTGTGTGCGTGTGTGTGTGTAAAATATAAAATCCCGATATAAAATATAAAGGGAAACTGCTCCTTTCAAAAGAAAAACAAATGTTTATGTAAAGTCCAACTATCTATATATTCAGTGAAATAAAACTCAAGGACTGCTTAAAAATCTTGTCAATCACCTGAAGTCAAATATGATTTACAATCGCATGAATTGTTTTAATACATAACTTAAGAAAAGCGCTTTATATTAGATAGAAATCCTTTACAATGTTTAAACTTTGTGCAGGATCCCTTAATTTATTTCTGGATTTATTATCTCAATGTGAATATGTTTTTTTCAAAAAAAAAAAAAAAAAAAAAAAAAGAAGGCCGTTAAATAATTTTTCTCGGAAAGTAAAAATATTAGTTTGAATTTAAACAATATTTTGAGCATAAACAGAAATCCTAAAACAGAACTGTTACAATAAATCTACAAAAAAAAGTAATTTACAATCGCGTGCATTGTTTCGATACATAAGAAAAGCACTTTAGATTATATAGAAAGCTTTTACAATGTTAAAATTTTGTTCAGGATCCATTAATTTATTTCTTGAATTTATTAACTCAATGTAAATATGTTTTTCTAAAAAAAAAGGCCATTAAATAATTTTTCTCGGAAAGTTAAAATATTAATTTGAATTTAAACAATATTGCAGAAAGCCTAAAATAGAGTATAAAATAGAGACAGCATAAACAGAAAGCCTAAAATAGAGCTGCTACAATAAATCTACGTGAAAAAAATATCAGAAAAGGAAAAAAAATCTAAAAATTACCAATTTCGTTTGATAAAGTTCAAAATTATTATTTTAAATTAAAAGAAACGGACAATCAAGAGATTAACATTAAAAATGAATCTCCTGAAAAGTTAAAAAAATGAAACAATGGTTCTCTAATGCCTCCATGACGGCAAACAATAAATGGGAAGAACTTGCTTTAGCTATAGAAACATATACAACGCGTAAAATTGCAAATAAAAGATGCAACAAATAAGCGCAAAAAAGTCTTAAACTAATGAATTTTACTTGCTAAATGTATATATATTTCTCTGAATTGAAAGGGTGAAGGAACGATATAGCATAAGAAAGACATCTACGACACATCTCTAGAGGTAATATGAGATAATAAGACGAGAATAAAAAATGAAAACAAATATTGACAAAAAAATTCAAAAAATTAGAAATTTTTTTTGATGAAATATAAAAAAATATTATTTTGAACTGAAAGAAATTAGATGAAGAAGCTCATAATTAAAATCTATGATACATTTAGGTATAAATAGAAAATAGGTAAATGTAAAAATATATGAAATTGTATTAATACAAAAAATACATGAAAAAGAACCATGAGCATAAAAAGAACCTTTGCAAAACGTTTATTAAGTACAAAAAATGAAAATGATAAAATGCATAATTATAATCCTGAATTAATACGGAAATGGGTAAAATAAAAAGAAAGTAGTTTAGGAACTAATCTGTATAATACATTTATTAACACTAGATTGCCTGAGGAAGTCATTTTGACTGCTTTTAATTTCAATTAGAAAAACAATGATGTATACAATGACACAATTTCTTAGAATTTTGTGACTTTTTGTACAACATATAATTTTTTTTATTGTTAATATTTACTAATAACTTTTTATATAACTGTAAATAATATAAAAAATTTTAAAAATTAATTTTAAACAAATTTATTGACGCATTCACTATCTAGTCATTTTGACTGCTTTTCGGCAATATAGGTATATACTAATTTTCCGTCTTTCTAGTGTTAAGCATGAAAAAAAAAATCTGAAAATTAGGAATTTTGTTTGATAGAACACAAAAATAATTATTCTGAATTAAAATAATCGGGTGAAAGAAAGAAAAAGAAGTTTTAAAAAAAACTATCCCTACTATGCATCGATAAAGAGAACATGCAAAAAAAAAAAAACTCGAGAATAAGTGAAATTAAAGAAAAAAAATGAAAAATAAATAGGAAAATAAGGAATTTTGCCTCATAAAGTATAATGTTACTTTGATTAAAAAAACAGAAAACAAATAGGTAAAAAAAAAAATTACTGCAAGTATCTGCAGTCAATTATTTAGAATTCGTAATCAGAAATATTCTAAAAACAATGATCATAAACTAAGATTAATGAGCAGAAACTTATTATTAATTTTAGTGTAACGCCTGTATTTTTAAAGTAAGATTATTTACCTCCTTAACATTGCTCGGAATATGAGCAACGGCATATCCCTTAAATTCCATGCATATCCCTAGAATTACCCATCTTCACCCCAGTGTTATTGTGGGAGCGTTTTCAAGTTTAAATGTAAAGAGTTCAGCGCAATTTTCATTAATTATAGCTTTAAAAAGATTTGAAATTCAATCTACTACTGGTCTTAAAAGTAAAAAAAAAATATTTTTTTGTATTCAGCGTTATGAATCTTAAAATCATAAAACTAAATTTAATGACACTAATTATTTTAATAAAGGGTAAAACATAAACAAGATAAAAAAAATTAAGCAGAAAAGTAACCCGAAATAAAAACTTACAATTTAAAGTTGAGGCAAGAATAAAAGTCTTCTAGTAATATTTCGTTAGAGGCTCCTGCTTCTGTTATTCTGAGGAATGCTTTGTGATTGACCATGAGACAACCGTGAGAAATGCCGAGGTTGTCTAACGGAAGTTTGTTCTTGAACATAGTCCAGAGATCCAATTTAAGTTCCTTAATCACCTTTAGGACTATATCAATGGTCTCACCTCCACAACCTAGGACATTGAAATACATATGATGAAATATGCCATTAAAAGTAGTATCTCTAATGTTATTAGCTTTATCTCTATATGAAAGAAGAAAGCGTTTTTCGTCAACGGTAAAATATTTATCTGGAGATTTAGCAATCAACTTGTCTAGGTTGTCTAAACAAAAATATTTATTCTGTTCAGCCATTGCGAGAACTCTGAAAAGTCTAATAGTAATAATCAACTCAAAGTTATTTAACTAGTTGAACCCTTATGCCTGCTAGTACACATGCGCATTGTACATTTTGAACAGGCCAATAGGATTGAACGTCATACGCACGTCATATGTTAAAGAACGCATGTATGCCGTCACCTTTTCTAAAGACTAGGAGACTCCTCCCCCAGTACACTTGACTTAGAACCCAAGTGGTTTGTACATTTTCTTCCCCCCCCCCCTCCTTCCAAAAAAAAGTCCTAATTTTTCAACAACAAAAAATTTATTAATTAAAAAAGAAAGAGTTTATTTTCTTCCTTAAACACAGAATTTTACTAGTTTTATGTATGAAACTGCAAGATTAATATGATTATAATTAAAAATATTTAGACTAAAAAATTCAAAATGTGTGACACAATAACCTAATGAGTTTGACATATCGGTAGATCATTTTTTTAGAGCCAATTTTTGCAAACTTATTTAATATTTATATCACTGCTATATGAAATTAAGTCATATAATTTAAAAAAAAAAAATATATATATAAAGAATTAGCTGGG